CCGCCTCTCCCCCTTGCGCCTCCCCTTCCATGCCCGGCCGTCCTCGACGCATGTGGGGGCATCCTCCCCCCTATCTTTCCCTGCCTATAGACATTCTTTTCCCGGCCTGGGGGGTCTGTTGGAGCTCGGGTCCCGGTGACATGGACCCTGGTGGTGTTTGTTGCCTGGCCGTGTGGGTGCCGGGGCATGTGCGTGTGTGGGAACTCCCCTGTCGGCTGGGCCGGTGGGGATGGCGGTCATGCGCGCACCACGAGAGGGTCCTCCCTGCGTGTATGTGCATGTGTGCATGTGTCTCGCGTGTTCTCTTGGCTTGGATCAAAACGACCGAATAGGCTTGGGACCATTCCCCGGGCAGAGAACGGGGGCAAGGAGGGCGCCTATGGCTGCCAGTGGGGGGGGGCGGGCAATCCTTCTGCGGGTGTAATTGTGGATGCGATCCTCCTGTGGATGTGGTCTCGGGGCCGGTACACAGTGCCCGGCAGGGCTGCGCCCCGGGGGTGAATGATGGCCCAATCGAATCGCAGAGTCTCCAGGGACACAGACGCCATTCTTTCCACGATCATTCCCTGCCAAATGATGGGAGCAGCCACATTGACGCACGCACATGCACATGTAGAGACACACACACACATACAGGGGCACACACATCCAGCCATATAGATGATGTCTCGGCCCCGGCGCGAGGACCGCTCGGAGGAGGCATCCCGGCCCCGGCGCGATGAACGCTCGGAGGAGATGTCTCGGCCCCGGCGCGAGGACCGCTCCGAAGAGGCATCCCGGCCCCGGCGCGATGAACGCTCGGAGGAGATGTCTCGGCCCCGGCGCGAGGACCGCTCCGAAGAGGCATCCCGACCCCGGCGCGACGACCGCTCGGAGGAGGCATCACGCTCAGAGCGCCTGGACGACCGATCGACCGGAGCCGGGGCTTCAGCCCGCTCGGCGGCCTGCACCGGCTCGGCGGCCTGTGCCAGCCCGGAGGCCGCCACAGGCTCGGGCACCGCCGGCGCGGCGGCCGGCGACTCGGCGGGCGCCCTGCCCTCGGCCCGAGAGGAGGTCGTCCGCGAGCCGGGCTTGCTCGATGCCGAGGTCTTGGCTTTCGACTTGGACTTGGTCCCTGGCGTGATCAGCTCGAAGGCCGGGACCGCCTTCTTGCGCGAGGACATGGCTACGTGTGTATGCGCGGACGCGGGCGAGGGAGCGGGGGGAGGGGCGGCTGGTGGTGGCGGGGCAGAAATGTGGACGGCAGGGGGGGAGGGAGTACGCTGGCTCGCCGGCGCCCGGGACGCCCGGGCCTGTGGCCGCCCAAGAGCCCCCCCCTGTCCGCCGGGGGCCCCTCGGCCCGAGCGCGCGGGATCTCCCCCCGCCGCCCGAGAACTCACCCGGTGCCCCGCACGCGTGCCCCCGCCGCCGCCTCCTCCCCCCCCGGGGGAGAACCACGCACGCCGCGGAGGATCGCGCAATGAGCAAATGCCAACGCACCGCGGGGATCCGGCCACACGTGCCGGAGGACCGATGCGCCTGCGCCCTGCCCCGGCCCGGGCCCCCCCCCCCCCCCCGGAGGCGGGGGACCCACCGTGGAGTGGCCAACATCGAGGCACTTCTTTGGGGGGCCCTGCCCAGCGCGGCGGCCCGGGAACACCTCCC